TTTAAAATTGTTCGATTTTTGTTGCGCTAATATATATATATATTTGAAAATTAGGATATCAACCAAGTTCTGAAAAAAATAATAAAGGAACCAAGCTTAAAAATGTTAAACCCAGTCGACCTACGATAAAGTTGAAAATACCCTGTCTGAGAGTTAAGAAGTAAGAATAAGCTATATAAAGATGCCAAAATTTTGCACAAACCTTCCACCTTACAGCATTCGACACGATGTCCGTCGAAATAATATGACGATTTGTGAAATGTTTCCCCCGTGAAATTTTATGATTCAAAATTTATATTGTATAATTCTGTTCCTCGCTAGCGAAATATTTAGCAAAGCGATATTTTCCCTACTAGTCATAGTTGTATACCATTACTGAAACCGACGGTACTCAGCTTACGTCGTCACAATAGATTAGCCTACTTTTGTTCTTAGAAGCGCCGAGTAGATTGTTGGTATAAGATATTGACCACAATATTTTCGTCAAATTATAGGTTTCTATCGAATTAAGACCAATTCTTACACATACATCAGGTAATATTACCGTACGTGTATTGTAATACAATTTCGTGAAATATTTTTAAGCCGTGCGGATTATGCTTAGGACCCGTACTTGTATTCGCTTATAGCAAATTTCATTGTTAAACATATTGAATCGAGATTAGCAAAATATTGTTCCCAATTCTCTTCTGATATCCGATGCACTTTTAGTCACAGAGTGCAATGAAAAACTAGTTTATTCATTTATAATGAAATTGGATTATGGTATTTGTAGTTCCATTCCATATATTATGTAACTCTACTAACTCACCCTGTGAATAGTCGCAAGAGCACATTTGATAGCGTTTTTACTCAAAATACCTCATATATCGAAATGTGTATAATGTAGAAAAAATATAGGGAAACTAGCAAATAATATCACCCCGTTCTTTTTACACAGCCAAATTCGTGTTTTTTTTTACATAAATAACAAAATTTTTGCTCGTTAGTGCAACCGGAATCTAGATTCTTAATTAACATTGGGATGGTTTTAATCCAATGCCACAGCGCCGCGCATGTTTGTTCTAAAATTCCAGACAATTAATAGCGAGAATCTATATCGCAATGTTATTACGCAACAAGTATATACATTAATTAGCAAAAAGAAGATGTCCCGTTTTTTTTGTAACAAAAATATTTGACAAATACTTCGAATTTTGTTTTATAATGAATTAATATTTTTTCAAATCTATAAAAATATCAGTCATCACAAATTGAGTTGCAACAAACCAATGAGCAATCAATAGTTATACAGAAATTATTTAAGGTGATTTTAGTTCGCAGACAAATGAAGCTGGCACGATATTGAAAGAGATTTAAATATTTTTAATTGGAAAAGCAGCGTGATGGAAGTGAGCGCCAAGTATACAGCACGGAAACATTCACGAAGGATCGGTAGATGAACAATAGTTACGAGAGAATCGAAAAATATCTTTGCATTGTATATAATTAGGGTTACCATATTATATTTGTGAGCTCAAAGCGGGACGCCTCCAAAGACCATAGCTGCGTTTTTTTTTTTCAAGTTCAATATTACCGATTTTACATTAGGGGCCTACATTTAAAACCATCCCGACTGTCTTTATTAGCCATATTCTCATCGAGAGTTCATGCGCTATCTGTCTAAATATCGGTTTTCAGTTCGAAAAAGAGAAAGGAATTTACGTTGACGCTAAGCACCCTTTTGACGTACGTAACAAATTGTAGCTACAAACAACGAAACTAACAAAATCACGCATCCACCTTCAGTAAGATAGGCTATCGACACGCTACACAGAAACAACAGTATCGAAAACATGCTAGTTGGTAATGTTCGTGTATTATGCTGATTGGCTGAACGCAAAAGCGGGACTTTTGGCTTACCGGCCGGGACAAGGGGTTAAAAGCGGGATTGCCCGCCTAAAGCGGGACGTATGGTAAGCCTATATATATAACACGTATACTTGCAATATGTTGTCGATAACCATTAGTGATATATCAACACATATCAACTCACTTTAAGAGAATATTAGCGCTAAACGTTTTCAGCATGGTCCAACTCCATGAAAAAATCCTTGACAAGCTTGCAAAACGGAGTCACGATTGGCGTTACCTCCCATCCAATACGCCGCTTGAGGTCAGCTCATACCTGGCAGTGAATCGATCCAAAACTCCAATTCGAGAAACTTTGTAACCGGGAAGAGGGCGCTAAAGTACTGTAAATATAACTTTATTGATTGTTCATCGGTTGTGCGTAAATTAAAAATTTCAAAAATGTTTTTCGCCTACTCCGTATGGTAGTGTATTTTCACTTCTGTAAAGAAAATTATATTCTAGTAGTAACGTAGTCAATTTTTATACCGTTATTAAATATGCACCGAATTAGGATTTGTCAAACGCAAATTATGATACGACAATTCCAGCCTTCCTGCTATCCGATTTGATTTGCTGTTTTCCCTTTTGGGAATATGAACTTTGATATCTTCTAATTTACCGAGAACTGCTTCCATATTTTTAAATGAACGTGCCAATTTAGGAAATATACATGAATTCGTTTTCAAAAATCTCTGCAGTTTCAGTCATTTTCACGTAAAACAAATATTAGATATAGAATTTAGGATTAACTCAGACATGAATCTGATAAACATACAGGGCGTGAATATTCTCCTGCGATTGTGGTTTCTATTCGAACGTCAAACAGACAAAAGTTATCGAACGATGTTTGATTGATTGGTGTATATTCCAGACTCCAGATAATTTTTATTTTTTTTTTTTTCAAGTTTTTGGGGCGAGCCTATAGTAACTAAAAATATAGATATTTGTTTTTTTATTCACGAGGTATAAAATATATTAAAATATTTTGCTAATTGTTCAACAACTGTTTTACTGTATCAAAATTATTTCGAAATTTTTGAGCGATTTACAACGAATTATTAAAATTTGTTAGGGTAATAAGTTTTTGAGTCGTGATCATAGGAGTAAAATAGCCTAAAAATGAAAAATGAGTCATCAATTGGTATCGTGTCGAACTTTCGAAAATAATAGTTTGAGTAAAGTCGTTTATTTACGCGTTTATGAATTGGTTACGAACAATTTTGTTACAACACATATAGCAAAGTATATTTTTCTGGCATGATACGCATCAGAAGTGAAAAGTTAACAACGCAAGAAATTCATAAGTTCTTTTCAGTCGGAGTCGAATGCAAATTTTATAAAATATACTCGGTTTAATGTGGCGGTCTGTTTTTTAAAACCTCATAATATTGTATAAGATAATGGTAATTTATCTGCTAGTATTTCAGATTCTATGAATTGTATACATATATATATATATATTTACTGAGCAGCGTTCAGAAAAATAAACTACAATGTCACTAACAATATTCTGGTAACAGATCAAAAATTTTTGGCAATCTTTTTTCTTCATGAATAAATTTATATTTTTTATGTTATCTTCCATGCGTAATTGGTGAAAGAAAGTCTATAAAAATAAAATTTGTTTGTTCTTGATAATTATGAGCGATTATTGCAAAAAATTACGATATAGTACATTTTAGAATTTTCTCAAGTCGAAAAAAATAAAATTATTGTTTCGCTTCGGTAATGTGTTCGTGCAGGCGTTTGTTTATCGTTGTCTTCATTGGCAATCGAAAATAAATCAAGCGGAAAGATTTAAAGAGGGGCTCAACAGGGTTGGGTAGGATTACCCCGTTTCTCCGTATCGGTAGAAACGTAGATCTTCAGAAGTCTTTTATACCCAGACCTGTGGAGCATACCGGCAATATTCCGTCTTCCTGCTTATTAGTGAACCGCAGTAAATGGTGCGTGTACGAGGGGTGAATTTTACGCAACAGAGCCAAGCCAAGTATTTCATACGTGGCGAAGTCATATTTTAGGGAGCAAGTGGTGTCACGTTTCACCTCTTTCGATTTTCCATTTTTGCATGTTTACTCTTCCGCTTACGAAACAAATAAGATTCGGAAAAGTATATTTTTGTCAAAGCTTTATTTAGCCAGGAAACTGTTCGATAGGAGATAAATTGTCTTTCTAACAGTAATGGGCCTACATAGTATATGAATTTTTATACTATGATGTGTTAGAAATTGAGGCGAAAACTCTCGTTTTATAAATGTTTGAAGATAGATAATAATTTTTACTTTTAAAGGACGGATACATTATTTTAGCGTATTGTCCTGTCCAACGTTTGTAATATGTGGGAGAAGATTCTGCTCTTTCGTTGTCGACTCTCGCTACACAATGTTTAAAACCCTTGTGATGAAGATTCCGTACGAATGTAAAGGTACAGAAATGAAAAATGAAAGATAGGAAAGTTTAATTTTCATCTCGCAAGTGTTTGCGCTGGTACGTGCAACATATTGCTATATTTTGTAATTAATCGTTCTGCAGCAATAAATTTAATTCTTCAAAGTTAATACGCGTCTATAACCTACAGCAATGCTTAGCGCAGGTGCGAATTCTAATGTTATAGAACAGCTCGGCGTCCCAATTTGTTCCACCCTTTTCGATATTTGAATGATAAAATTCTCACCGCTCTGAGCGTATTAAGTTCTGTATGTGTGACAGAGGGCGAGTCAGCTGATGGGTGGACATAGTCGACGGATTTTTACGCTTTTCAGGTCTTGTCGGCCGTAAAAACTGTTCGGGTGTGTGATGATGCGATGACAGTAAAATAAAACACAAAAATTCTTATATAGAGCACTTGACTACAGAGTTTAGAATGTAATGAAAACATGTAAATAGTCACTACTGATCATGCTTATACGTAGAAATTAAATAATCAAGTTTAAAATACCGGTAATAACATTAGGAAATGAGATGGAGTTAATTCAGGGGATTCAGAGGACGTTTTTATTAGGGATGTTATAATTTGAGGTATTATTTCAACTAAAATATGGATGGGATTTGAAAACATCGTCGCCAACATCGTACTGAGAACTATGTTTTTGTTTCAATTTTAGAAATTCAATATATTCATATTGGTACTGAATTCATTTTTTCCTCATTGAGATAAATTCAGTACATATGCTTGCACCATCACCACATCTAATGACATCCGCGTTGTCGGTTTCGTCACTTGCGCCGTCGCAGTCAGTGACAGCGTTTTCTGGTTCTCCACCGTCAACAACATCAGAAGAGTCGTCATTATCACCCCTGCGATCTGTCAGACATAGAAGTGGAGATGGTTACAATGAAATTCGTTATGTGGAAGAGATGGGAAACAGCGCACATTATGCTGGAGTGGCAACGAAAGTAACTGAATACGGCAGCCCAGGTGGTCAAACGCGCGTGACTTTATCACAGGTATCTAGAGAAGTATGTATAGCGTATCCTTGAGGTAACCTAAAACCATTAGAGCAATATACGCCTTCGAAACCGTGCTACTATATTTATAATTTGCGTAAGCAAGAGTTGACATTTTATGTTGGTTCAAACGGATGTTTTATGATAAACATATATATATTTAAATAGACAAATATTCAAGTTTTCTGCCGTTGCAATGTATAGCCGTTTGGAACATTCTCATAACAATGCCATTATGTTTTTGCAGGATGCAACGACAGCAATGCACATCGACCCGGCAACGGCCTTAGCAGCAAATTCAATTTTGTCGTTAATACAAACAAGTAATTCACAGCATCAACAACAACTTTTACAGCATTTACATCAACAACAACAAAGTTTTGCCAATTTAGACGCAGTCAGCAGCGGTATGCCTTATAGCCAAGGAGTTATGGCCCTGCCAGTTGCTTCAAGCGATGCTTACCAAGTATCACAGGCGCAAGTCTTTATGCCAGATTCTATGGAAGTGGATGACGCAGATCCGCCAAAGCAGAAACAATCTCGTCATGGTGAGATGGATGTCAAGCGATCAATGGGAGTGACCATAATGGAACAAAATTCGGTAATTCCTCCCACAATTGATACAGAAATCCGGCGCACACACTATAAATCACAAGTCGACTCAAATTTAGCTCAGCATTCATCTCTAATGAACGGCGTCTCGACATCAGCGTCTACACGACTCCCACCCTTGAAAAGCCTGACAGAAGCGATTCATAGTAATAGTACAATAAACACGTATGATAATATACCTAATGGAAATCGCACTGCAAATCTCATGCATGAAAAATACAGAGTAAAAAAGCAAGAATCAGAAGCAATCATCAATCCTATAAGCGAACTGGGGCCAATACATTTTGTTAACGGTGCTTTCACTGTTCCCAACAATCACACTCCAACAGAAGTTCTCCAAATGCCTATGGACTCCAGCCCTCAGCGTATGACATCCCCAGTGTATGTGCAAATGCATAACGGATCCATACAGGCATTTCCATCAACTGCAGCAACTCAGCTAGCCATGAACAACATCGCACTTCCACAGGTATATTAAGTGCATATTATATTGCATGTAGCATCGACTAATTTCTGACTCTGTGTTCGCGGGTTTATAATTATAAATAATTTTTAATTTTGACAGGGGTTTTATCATCCAACCCAGATTAAAACACTGCCCGATGAAAACAATCAAATGATATTGCAGAATAGTGGACCTCATCCATACCATGGCCAGGTAATCTCAGATGAAAATCCCATGGCAACTATGGTGGGAGCGACAAATAATGGAAAGGCAGATGGAAATAGACGACACGGTCCAGGAAGGCAATGTAAGAATTTTTAAAAGAAGTAATGTAAAATTTAGTTATTCACCTATATTGTTTTGGCTATGGCTGAACATCCAATATTATGTTATGAGTGCAATAATCTTTCCCATCTGTAATAGTTGAAGACTACAGTTATATTGCAACGTCCTCATATTTTTGGGATTTATTTAAATTGAATGTAGAAGCGCAGGAATTTCGCAACTCTTCCTAGAGCTATGACTATCATTTGCTAAAAGTAATATTAAACAGCAATAATGATTTAAAATCCATATACATGAAAAGTGTTAACTAAAAAAGATTATCTCATAATATTAATAAAAATTGAGGAGAAATTGCTACAGCTATTATACTCAGGATCCCAGACTCCTAGGAACCTCGAGATGATGATAAAACGGCCATATACTCACATACGTACAATTATTTCCTACTAAGTGATGTTGAACAATGTGCTAGTCGTATTTGATAAATATAGGTATATATCTATCTTTTTTCAAATCTTCTTTTCAATGTCTTACAAGCAATTCCGGTGTTGCCACTTACAGTAAACTTGGATGGCAATGACTCTGCTGAAAAGCCAGAGTAACAATACAGATGTTATTTTACGTCGTGAGCTTGTTGTTGAAATATAGGCTCTTATTTATTACGAAATAAAGTTTCAGTGGGTAACTAAATCAAGGAAATATATTCATAGCTGCACTAAGCTAACTGGATTTAAAATATAATAATAATTTTTTGACATTTGTAAAATCATCACATAAATAGCCGTACGCGTTACGCAAATTGTAATTTGAATGTATTCCACATTCCTTCACCACGTAGTATAAACAGGTTGATGATGCAAAGATGAACGATTTAGATATGAGTAAAGACCTCATTCAAAAACCGTTGACTGACCATGCTTATCCGGGCGGAGGGGTGGAACACGATGGGCTTGGGTGGTGGTCCAACGCTATGTTTTAATAAAATCGATGAGGCATATTATCAACGCGCTGTCCTCGGTCTCTCGATTACGATGATCTGGACAATTGATCATCTGTAGTCACTGAACTCAAGAGATTGAATTCGAACTTGTTTTCTATGATTTGGCTTTAATAATAATGTGCATGAAATCGCTTTCACATTGAGAAAAATGAAGGTTTGGTCGTGGAGTGTAGATGAACTTGGTTTCCTGCCAGTGCTGTTCTCTTAAATTCACTGTGTGACATTATAGTGCGTTATGTCTCATTTCAGATGCGGCCTTTCAACGACCCAGGTGCTGCAAACCGCGAGTAATCTTTACGTGAAAAAAAACATTTTTGAAAGATTCGACTTCACAAGTGTAGTCATTGTTTAACTTGTTTACTGGGTACAGACAGTCTGCTTTCCGTGTGGAATTTTTTCGCTTGAATGCATGACCGCACCGATGCTTTCGGGGTTTGTTTTGTAAATGCAGTCGACCCATCACGTTCCCACAGGTATCCCTACTCGGCCAGAAAGGGGGGATAATGTAAAGCGTTCGTGCATGATACGAATCGGAATTCCTCGGATAATCCAATGATTGTAACGCTTTGTGATATTGGATAGGGTGATGACGCGAATCCATCGGTAAAGCCTAAATTTATTGTAAGCTGCATTCTTTTACAAGAAAACAAATTGCTACTACGGTAATATAAAGTTTTGAAGTCACCCAATTATTAACAACCTATGGATTTCATACATATATATTTAGGTGATTCAAGAGTCTTGCTGCACACTAACACAAATATATTTCTGTAACGTTTCGTCTGACCAAGGTCAGACTTCTTCAGACATACATAGTTCAACTACCATATATATATTTGGGTATATAAAATGTGTATGTTCCATATCCTTTATCTGAAACGACACCTTTGCCCTTGCGCGAATTTCACTTATCGAATCGAATATTTTGTGTATTACCAACTTGCTAAGTCCAACCCGTAACCACCCTCATCAAAACTTGTTGTTAGTTTTATTATGTGAAAACAATATGGACTGACAAAATACTTGAACTTTAGCTAATGGTGAGAATACGTGAGTCTGCATATTTTACACAAACACTAAATATAAACAAGAGAGCTATGCTCAAATATATGGACACGTAGCGCCACCCAGTGGGAATAATTTTGATGACGTCATGGCGAAAAAAAAAGTAATAGCTTTCTGGAGAAAAATTTTCTCCTCAACCACTGAAAATTTCAAAGCAATTGAACCAGTATTCGAAGAGGAAAGTGATTTCTTCAAAATGTGTCAAAGAACAAGGACACTAAGAACAACAACAACATAATATTGAAACGATCGCTATGTCCACTACGTGTCCAATTAAGACAGACTTTAGTAACTGACACGATATCTTACATGGGTTAATTGCGATACGACTAAAGTCGGCAATCTAAAAGAGAATAATTTTTTTTTCTTGGAACAGTTTATTGGTTTACCAAAAGATACTGCCTTGACTCTATTATTTTCATCATTTGACTAAGGAGTTTGCTGATCAATTAGTGGTGTCATTTCGTTGCGAAACACTCCATTTGATCGTTTGTCGCTTGCGTCATCTGCCGGAATTATTGAACGCCATTATGTTCAAACTAATTTTAGGCGTTCTCCGTTATTTAGGACAAAAGTATTTTGTGTTTGATGTCGAAGATTTCTGAAATCAAAAACGCCCGTCTTTGCTGATCAAGAGGTACAAGTAATTTTCAATTTTTTAATGTCCCCACACCAACATCGAAGTGAAAAATGAATGCCATGGCATAGAGTCTACAGATATTTTTAAAATAAATAAAAGTAATAGCATTCACGATCCATAGCTCCACTTCGCGTCTAATTACGAGGCTTGTAGACTGTAGAAACCAATTTTCAAAATCGCGTACCGGAGTAATTTCTTCGTGAAAAAATTCACTTAATCGTTAATCGCTTGCGACATCTGCCGGAACTATCGTATGCGTTTGTATTTAGAGTTCAAAAACTCTTCGTCGTTTCGGGGCGAAATGTTTGAGTGCAGTCAGCATAAATTTTAGTGCGAAATTAGAAAGGCACTAAACACTTCGAATATTTTACCCGATAGTCATTTGCTCGAACTAAAATATTTTTTTACATCAAATTCACATGTACAATATAATAAAGTAAAATTGGAACGGAAATCAACTAGGAACTTGAAAGGACATAGTTTATTCTTTTTATTTAATTTTTATGGGGATTGTTTTAAAATTTATCCATTCATTTAAATCAACATGGTTTTGTTAGCTTGATCCTTGATATTTAATAAAGTCGTGTTATACGTAATAGTCTCTGAAATATATTTACGAAGAACGTGATGAATAGGCGCGGTGGACTAAAACTATCGGAAAGCTATTAGCGTATCGAGAGAAAAAAAACTATATTGTTGAAGCTTTGGAGCAATTAGGTTTTGGGAATATTATCCTAAAGCAAAATGCATTGACATGAATCAGCGTAAATACAATCGCGATGTAATGAAAGCTTGGCCGATATTGAAACCGACGTAATTAAATAAGATATTAAGGATTCACACAAATGCTAGTAATGCCCCCATAATCGTTAGGAACCATCTTGCTAGATGTTAAATACACTCTGGCGTCTTTAGAAGTGCGTCATTTGTCATACTACTTTTATTTCGCAAGCATTGAAGCGTATCCCACTCATGACCAGCGCGGTGATTCTTTCTCTCTTTAACTAATCTCTGATATTCGGTTACGGCAAACAGCATTCCTTTTGTATTATATGTGAGTAATCGTACAGCTCGTGTGGGCCCGCAGGCTTGCTTCAAAACAATGAGCTTGATGGCGCGCTCTTTTTCTCTTTCCGCTTGACATACTGACATTCCGCTTCGCTGGATATAAGCGCTATGTTGTTTCGCCTCTGTGGTTTTTGTTCGCTTGAACAAGTTTTATCGTTCCATTTACAGGGCTTTGCAGTTTATGAATAGATTGTTGAAAATAGGAGCTAGATAAATTTATCTTACTATTTCAAATCAATTACAACTTAACACCAGTAATTTGTCAGCACAAAAACTCAGAAATATATCCTCGATTTTTACGTAAGAACGTCAGAATAGGAATTGTATTTATCGAGTCTTTTCTATTGAGCAGATGAGATATTAATTTGTACTGTATACTTGTATAAGAAATGTTTAAGGCTTAAAGACTTGAATTATCAGTAACGTTTGGTAAAATAATAAACTCGGGAATGCCACCAGTCCATTTTTCAACTCTGATGTCGGTTCGAAAAAAAGACCTGCGCAACCTCAATAAAATAGGTCTCAAATGTATTCGCGCTATTTTTTAGTCTCAGTGCAGCGTCCGTTGCGTGACAGCGTGCTCAGCAAATCGAGACGCGCCCTGTTTCACTTTCCGCTCGACTGAAAGACTGTCTCGGTCGGTTGCCGAGGCGTCCGCCATTTTCTTTGAAAACGTTCGTTTGAGTTGAAGCATTTACGTGGAAAGTTCAGTTATTTCGACAATGTATTGAATTTGAATGTCATAGCTTGCATCAATAGTCTATCAACCAGGCGTGCAATGCTTGTTCATGCGAGTAAAAAAGTTCGCGGTTGAATGGATTGTCTAAAACTAAATAACATACGCTCCAGTGAGCAAAACCTATCAGAGCGAAATATGTTTTGCAATATTTATTTCGAGACGCATGAAATTGAATTTATAAACAACAACACGTGTTTTCTGTATTTTTCCCTTATCTTTTGCTCACGGACCTTTTTTGGTGATATTGAATGAGCCAATCGATGTTTCCTTAATATTCTGTATTATTCACGGTGTCGCATTTACTCGCGGTAACAATGAAATGTGATATTGGCTAGTTGAACTATACCTTGATTTTGTATAGGTCTACATGCCGTTTTTAAGGAACAGTAAACTGTACCTAATAAAGCATCAATTCAGCCATCATGTCATTGAGATTATGAATGGCATATCAGTTAATTTCAGCATTATGGCGTTATCATCCTTAGTTTCCCAAATGGTGATAATCAGATGTATAGATAATATGATCCACAGGCTCAAACATTTTTAAATAATACCGTAGATGATGATATGAACAGGTTTACTTTTAAACTTGTACAAGTGCTTAATGAACAATAAAAAGGCATTAATGATCGAATTCATTTTCAATATTACAGTAATATAGTAGCTCCTGATTTATCACCCATAATGCTGTAATGTTTCAAAGTTGGCAATGTCCGAATGTAAAAATAGCTTGAAAATTAATTTTTGATCAATAAAACACAGGGTTGTAGTTTGTAGTAAATATGTTTAAGATTCAAAGTATTTGACAAGCAGCCACTGCCCCATTTGCCATTCTAAAACCGAAGAGTTAGAACAAGCAAAATAGAAATATTTTCATATTCATAAGTCTTCGATCTCTGACCGATATTCTCGTTTCTATATTGAGATCATTTTAAAAATTATAAACCCTGGGTCGTTATTAGACTTATTATGAAAAAAGATGTTGAAAAAAAAAATGAATTTGTGTGCCAGTACAGCAATATCGCATTTGTTTATATTAAATTACTATGCTTTGACAATAGACTTTATAGTGGCACTATATATAAAAACTAGATAAATATTTTGTGAACAATCAAGTTGATGTTATAGCTTTCCATCATGTCGTTAGAAAAAGGTGATGAAATTTCTGAAACAGACTCAAACGAAGTTATATCTTCTGAGCAATTGAAAAAAGGCGGCGAAATGAGTATTATCATCGAAGGAGGTGATTTAGGAAATGCAGAGGAAGGCAGGAAACGTTCTCTTACTGATAATTCTAATGAATCTATCGAGGATTCATCATCAGCACCAATTTCAAAAATCGCTAAAGTTGATATTGCAAATAATAATAATGAAGTTGTTATTGAAATGGTTAACGATGATGATCAACTTGTTATAACAACAGCTGAATCTGTAGAAAAAGATTTGGAGCACGAGCCAACCATTACTGTGGTGGCGACATCTGATGACACTTCAACACAAGCGTCATCTAGTAATTCTGATGAACTTCTCATTCTTCAAGGTGATGTGGCGGAGGAAGAAACTGTAGTGACCACAGAAAATAGTCAAGACATGTTGGCCAGGGAGTCTGCTCATGAAGTCCAAATAATGGAGTCAAATCATAGTTTTAGTCTCGAACTTGAAAATAATCAACCACAAGTACAAGTTGTTGTGGAACAAGAAGTGAATGACGAAGATATGGCAGTGCTAGAAAAACCTATCAAAAAAGAGAAAGACAAGAAACAAAAACGTAGTGTAAACAATACAGCTACAGTGGCTGCTCCACAAGGTGTCAATCCTGCAATGATGAGTAATTTACTTCATACAGCTGCGGCAGTAGCGGCATCACAGAATGCAGCCGCAGCAACGGTTCAAGTTGTTCCAGGGCAGGCCACGGGAACAATTCAACTTGTTCCAGCATCAGAAGTTCAAAACACGCAAGCACTTATGGCTTCAGGAATTGCTCCTCAGTCATTGAGCCCACAAACAATTGGAATGGGTGAAGACGGAAAGCCACACATAATTCCGCAACCTACGAATCAACCAGTTTTTACTTATCTTGTTACGAGTCAAGGGACTTTAATATCAGCTCATTCAAGTGATGGTACACCATTGATATCTCCAGCATCAGGAGCTGGAAAAGCTGCAAATACAAAACAAGAGGTTGCAGATGGAGATGATGGTGATGCTATAAAATATTTCGGAATATAGTTGGAATAAAACTGACCGATTTACAATTAGGGATAAAATGTTAACAAGGCCTGAAACACATTGAAGTGGGCTAAATGGTAGAATCTGAGAATCAACAAAAAAGCATTTTCCTTGAGTAACTGAACGAAATTTCCTATACTTTCTTTTATAATCTTGTACTTCCTTAATACTTTCGCAAAATCACATTCAAATTTTACCGCAACGTCTGCAACTCAACACATCAGAAAGTATTTCACCAGTGGATTCCCTTTGTTTCAATTTGCTGCTGAAAACTCAACACTAGTCATAACTCATAATAAAATATATCATAAAATAAAATATTTCCTAACAGATTAAAAATCATTTGTTTGATTTTTTTTTCAAGAACTATAAAAATGCTCTGATTAAATCATGCTTGATTATACCAGTGTCTACTGAAGATTTTCACAGCTCTATTCTTATATTCCTTGGCCTCTCGTATATACCTAACATTCAAATTTTTATCAGATTTTGTCTTTTTCTAGCAGGCCATGGAAGTGGAGTCAATCAACTAGGAGGAATGTACGTAAATGGACGTCCTTTACCTGAACCAATACGACAACGTATTGTTGATCTTTCTCATCAAGGTGTTCGTCCGTGTGATATATCTCGACAGTTGCGAGTATCCCATGGATGCGTAAGCAAGATTTTGGCAAGGCATGTGTTTTGAAATACTTTTCACGTAATTTAGTATCTGTCATTTATCTCTATCTTTATCCATAGACTGAATCATTCACCAACCATATGGTAAATAGAAAAAAATTTTTACCAAAAGTTTTTTTCAAAAAATTACTGTTATGTAAAATGAATAAGTGAAGTTTGTCTTACTATTTTGTTGGGTTACATGAAAATATATGGAAGACTACAATTAAAAACTGATTATTTCTTTTTCCCTTCCAGGTTTTATGAAACTGGTAGTATAAGACCTGGTGTCATTGGAGGCAGTAAGCCGAAGGTTGCCACTCCAACCGTGGTACAAAAAATTACAGAATATAAACGTGAAAACCCAACTATGTTTGCTTGGGAAATTCGGGACCGATTGCTGTCAGAAACTGTTTGCACACCAGAATCAGTACCAAGTGTTTCATCAATAAACAGGTAGATAAATTGCTAGGTTTCTACCAATAAGGTGCCGAATAGAAAAATCAATATATTATATTAAATGTGTTCTAACAAATAAACGTACACAACAAAGGAGGTTGATGGAATATATAAATCAAAAAGTACCCTCTTATCACCATTTTTGGGGAATTCTACACTACAATTATGTTTGAACAGTCAAAATCAGTGGTTTTTCACTGTTTTTGTGGAACGAAATCCCAATGAAACATTCCAGAGAATTTTAATTACCTTTTTAATGTCTGCATTGTATAAATTACAAATATATCTATAAGAAGATGTAATGCTGGCATTTAAAAAATATAATAATATCGACTCCGAGATTCGGATAAAAATTTGTGAAATCCCTGGACTACTGGCATAACCTTGGGGTGCTAAGTAACCCAGTTGAAAACCACTGGTCTAAATGAATTCGTTTTGTATCTATGCCATTCTAGAAAAATGATTTTTTTTGCAACATGTTAAGTTTTCCAGAAAATGATGATTTCAACTATTTTAATTTTTGACATTATATTTTGAATGGCACTGATTGCAATTTATTTTAAAAAATAAAATTTTTTTTTTTCAAATATTTTGATAAACCAGATTGATTTCTGTGTTTTTGTAACTTATGAAAAGCTATATTTGACATAATACATTTTTTCAAACTATTGTGTAATGTAATCATATTTTTTTTAATAAAAAGAGACTCAATTTAATCAAACACACAACTTGGCTCTCAAGTATTATAAATTGACTTCACAATTTGAATTCTGCGGTCTTCATCTTATTCCTTTTCATCGATACTCATCAACTTTTAGCATTATGTAGTATGTTTCCCAAACAACAATATCATTGTCTATTCAATATTTAGGATCGTAAGAAGCAAGACGTCGGATTTTATGAAAGATAATCAACATTTAACAGATCAAGCTAACACTCCTTCACCATTGCTACATATGAAAGCAGAACGTATGTTGTTTTGTAAAATTTTTGAAATTCCTTTTACAAAATAGTATATTTGTATGTTTATGTCAGATTAAAGCGTTTTTCAGACAAAACAAGACATAGCTAACTAAACAGGTATGAGTATGCTGGAGTATAATGGCTTTTTAGTTAAAGTGTTAGAATTGATTGTGCCTTCATCGCATGTTACTTATATTGGGTTCAAATCCCACGAGGGGTGTAATAAATTTGGTATGCAATGCCAAACAGGAAAAATTTTCGTTCTACAAAAAGATAGTATCGGCTGTATCGCTTTACACATCCTTAGATATCAGTGAGGTCTTTTACAGTGCCATGTTCGGAGCAAAATGACTTGCAATGATTATCATAACAAACTGTATGAAAGTTCAATATACTTTGACTAATCTATAATAGGATTTTGTAATGAATATTATTTTTCGTATCCAGATTACATGAAATATATAAATACATTATCTGAATAGAGTTGATTTTGAACAAAATTTATCGCAGGTAAATTCTTTGGAAATACATACCTGAAAAATGGATGAATATATCCACTTTGCTTAAAACTTAAATCAACATCATATTTTAAAAATCAATTATCAGGTCGAAAATCAACACCGACAATGATTTCTTCACACGCCATTGATAGCATTGTTCAACAAATGGTTTCAAGCAACACACAACATCAAACCACTAATGGAGGGTTGCCACAATATATAGCAATTGATGGTGTACCAACATCAGGTATAAATACTTTATTTATTTTTACAATATTGAGGTTGTCTTGCTTTTCAACGAAATTGTGAAGTATGATATAATAAGAATGTCTATCAAAAAAATATAAATCACAATTTCATTTGTACTGTGTGAATATATTTTAAGTTTTTGCTTGTTCAGCACATCTTCAAATTATTAGGCTTCCCGCTGCTTGTCAGCAGGGAACCTATTGTATTCCTTTGTTTTATTATTATTATTTATTTATTATTATTTATTATTATTTTTTTTTTTCAAATTGGTCCTACAAACTTGAAATTCACCTCAAATGTGCAGAAGTTCTCAGCTAGGAATAAAATGCAAATTTTATGCATGACTGACCTTCTGCTCTCAGCTAGCAATAAAATGCAAATTTTATGCATGACTGACCTTCCGCTCTCAGCTAGCAATAAAATGCAAATTTTATGCATGACTGACCACGCTTTCACGCTCCAGTGAGCAAAACGCGTCTTCAGTTTATTTGCGATTTCTCAAAATTGATACATGGTATTGGGTTGAAATTCATAACAATGATTAATGGACATGTTCCGGAATCCGGATACAATATGTCAAGGATACGCATGAGTGACCTCGGCGATACGCTCCAGTGAGCAATATAGGATTTTACATTTTCATCTTCTTCTCGAGAACGACACTACTTAGAGACTTGAAATTTACATCACATGCAGATAATAAGTCCCCCATCATAAATTGCAGATATAATGCATGACTGATCACGGCTTCACGCTCCAGTGCACATAGCATAATTTTCAGTTTTTTTCGCATTTCTCAATTACTATTGTATATTAAGAACTCAAACTTGGTATTTGAGGTCTGTTGATCCACCACAACTTATGTTAGCCTTTTGGGGTAGCACTCCCAGTCACGTGACTAAGTCATGCATGAGTGATTTTTTCATATTTCACGTTTGAACCCAGAAGAGTTACAGAGACTCATTCTATTACATGGCTGCATTACGCAGGAAGCCTGTTAAAGCTGCAAGCAGCTCTAGTTTTATGTTATTTTCATAAAGAATTTTATAATGTAAAAAAGTTTACAATTTTGTACAGATATCCAAAGTTATTAAATAACCCTGTTGTCTGTTTGATTTAGTCAGGTGTCAAAATTACAATTTAAAATTTTTATAATCTAGAATTTAATATAGAAAGTACAATACAATATCATTCAATTGTTTCGAAATTTTCTAATAAAATAACTTCAGATGTTTTCAATTTTCAGTTTTGAATATTGTCTGGGCATTTATGATTGAACTTATTCTCAATTTTGTCACAAAACATAATTAAAACTGATTATTGTAATTATAACTGAACTATTTTAATTTGTTTTGAAATATCTTTTTCAAATACGAAGTATGTTTCAAACTAATATTTCAAGGATATTGAAATATTTTTTCATTGTTAGATTTTTTCTATTTACATCTTATTTTTTCAATATTTCACTCTCTCAGGTGCTACTCTGCAAGCAACTACTTCATCATCGAGTGTTCCATCCGCAACCGAAGTAGTTTCCGCCGCTAGTTTAACGTTACCACCACCGCCTATAGTTCCTTCAGTTCAGACACAAGAAGCGAAAGCCAGCTCGCAGACGTTACCACAAATATTTGCAAACTTGACTCCTGCACAACAATATGAATTGTTAAAAAGTGTCAGTGGCGACATCATCACCCAACAGGTATAAGGAAAGCAACTTGTTTTCATAACCTTACAATGCAACCATCAATTGCAATAAATTACAAAATTTTAGGCTGGAAAAGCTTTTTATGGTCTAAAATTCAAATGATGGAAATGAGCATTTTATTTTAAAATTTGTGCAGTAAATTAGAAGTATCTATATTTTTTCTGTATCACTTGTCATAAGATATAAGTTTTCTCTATACAATGTCTTTCACTCTTAAACAGGCTCTGTATAAGCAATCGCCAATAATTAAGGAGCTACCTTTATTAAGAGCAAAGTCTTTTTAGTTCACTACTACCTACCCAATTTATTACACTCTGGCTTGAGTATTTATTATTTATGGATGAAGATGGGAATTAGTGAGAGGACTTACCGGTAATAGTCAAAAACAATCATAGGCGTTATTTTGTTGCCGGGGGTGACCGTGTCCCAAAATAATCACCACTAACTTGATATGTGCAATCCATATATAAAATGCTAACAAAGAGCGAGATCTTGATCAAGTTTTCAAGTTATTTTATATGAGCAATTCAGAATATCTTTGTAGTCGAAGTTTTTTTTACCAATCTCGAATGATCATTAGATGCTTTTCTACTTGTTTAGTGTATATAAATAATCAAGTCCATAGGACCATAACTATGTTTATTATCTTGATTTAATGAATTCTAATAAAACAATATATTGCAGACTATAGGAAAGGATGGAACCATAACAATCCACACCCAGCCTGCATCATCACAACAGCAAACTGGTACAACTGAAGCACAGGTAATAATCAATTAGTGAGCTACCTCGCTGTCACATGAAACTGCAATGAGATTGGATTTTTGAATATTAGGCTTGTCATCAATAAAGTTCTGAAAGTTTTCAAGTTGGGTGGCCTAGGGGTGAAAGCGTCAGACTCGGCTATGATGGCATAGCAGGTTAAAATCTTGAGCTCAATTGCCCAACAATTCACCCAGGGTGAAATAAGCATTTGAAGTCCAATTGTACTAATACTAAGAAAAAAAATCTGTCCTATCTCATCTATACATTCAAATCAAATCACAACGATTTATGCAAATTTTATGGTTTGCTAAACATGATTCAATTTAAAAAATATTCGATATTCCACATTCGAAAATATAATGTGTTCAGAATAATAGAATATTAGATTTTGGTCACTCTTAATTCAGCCTCTCAACTCCATCATTGTTATTCCCAGGTTCAGCAAATTGTTGTGAATCAACAGGGCCAAGTTGTCACCCAGTCTGATACAAACCAAGGCAATATTATTCTGACTACACATCAGGTTTGCTCCTTTTTTTTTATCAGGGTTCCTCAAATTGGGCCCTTTCTCCGCTCGGTGCGACTATGATTAAGGACCTTCACTTGGTACATTAATTTCTAGTAAATTGACTGATTTGTTTAATTTTTTCTTTCGCTTTTGTTTGTTTGTTTTTTCTTATTAAACATGGCAATTGAAATAACTGATGAAAAATCATTAAAATCAAATCTATGTATTTTTATGTAAGAACAGGTATGGAAATTCTCTGAAAGGTGTCCTAGACTCCTAGGACATTAAAAGTTGGCTATTGATTTATATTGAATAATATATTATATTATGGTGGTTTATATCTGAGATTTTACCAATTTTAAAATATTTTGTTCATTTACTAGGAACCTATCTGAGTGTTTGTCTTGTTTTATATTTATATAAGTTTTATTGTATTGTTTATGCAGGGTCAACAAGTAAACAAACCATCTGCTGTTAGTTCTAACGGACAAGCTGTCACATCAACAGCACAGAATTTAGCAAGTTTATCCAACCAACAACAACAGCAGGTCATATATTTATAATTTATTATTTAGCTGTGAAAACTGTGTACATGAATATACGGTAATACAAATTTTCTAAATTAATTTTTTCTAGTTATCTCTGAATTATGACTGCAGTTAAACAAATAGTTCCATAATATCTATCAAATTGTTTTGCAAAAAGTGACTCATTCATGAAAATACTTGTATCACTTCTAAGAACTAAATAATAGTTTGCGACACTTATTCACTCCCATTAAACTTCGTCATATACTTTTGTTCATTTTAATGTTTCCCATTATACGGCACATTGATTTTTTGTTGTGATCTTTTATTATTTTTAGTGCACAAGGCCGTAAATAAATGAAGGGGTCTGTCATGGAATTTTGTTTAAAAAGTTTGGGAACCACTGCGCTAGGCCACCAAATTTGTTTTCACAATTTGATAAATATATTATATATTCAATTTCTCAGGTCGTGATGCAATTGAAAGATTTAAATAAAGTACTTGCTGCTGCTGGTGGATCAACACTACCTACTGGAGGAAATCAACCGGGTGCTAATATACAGGTAGATTGTAGAGATTTAGAAAAAGTTTGCTTTTAATTCTAAATCATCTTTCCTGGTTTCTCTGCGGAAAAAATAATGATAATTTGGATTCTGAAATTTACAAAAAAGATTTTTTATTTTTTCATACAGAATAGAGGTATCTTATATTACCATGTATAATAACTACTAGTATTTGTATCATTATCATTCGATGGTGAAGTAGGTTCAATGCAGACAACTATTATTTGTGCATTTCGCCCACCCTGAAAATATTCAATGAAACTGTTATATGCTCAAATATTTCAGACAGGAATGAAAAATATAGTTAATTTGGTCAAATAACAAACAAATTGTCCTTTGTCACCCAATTTTATGATTATCAATTAAGTGAGTCTTTCGGACCCATTTTATAAAGTGTATTCAATTTTCGGCGCTCCAGAGTCGTGTGTACCAATATGGAGGAAACTTAATTTTGTTCGCCTACTTTACATCACGTTGTGTGTAAAGGGACTGGAAGCTATAAGCAGGGGGTATATTCACTTGGCTAACACAGACAGTCCTTGAACTCGTAATAGAACTAAAATAAGGAAAATCTGAATAAAATTATGGTCTAACCCTAATCTGGTATACATACTACGGGAATACCCAGTTTACTTCATGCAATTGTTTTTTGACATTGTCAGTTGTAATATCTTCATAATCTTTCATAAACCCTGTATTCAGGTTCCTGCCCAGCACGTGACACAATTAACTCAACAACAACCTTCATATAAAGTGAGTGAGCTTGCTGCTGCAGCTGCTGGTATTACTGGATCCCCTGCAACCCAGATACAAATTGCAACTGAGGGTGGTGAGATCATTTTTTCACCTCTTATTATAGGAGGAATTGTTTTTGGAGTTTAGACCAGTGAATTTCAAAGTGAGCAGTATTGCCCCTAAAGAAAAAAAAATGAGGGATGATATTGCATCCTCGAAAAGTCTGAATTATCGCGAAACTTGTTTTGCTTGTGGATTGTATTTGTACCTGACCAAAAGGTCTCAAATTATTGAGAAATCTTGTTAAAGAGTAATCTAAAGATCTTCTACTTCGTTAAAAAACACAATGTACTATAATTAATTCACTTGTTTAATTGATTTGTAACAAATTTGTTTGTGTGTATATATAGTATCATATGATAAGCTCTAGCGGGTGCTTGACAAACATCTATTAAAATTATTTACATTTATCTGTTATAGTTGTTAGATAATATACATTTCCATTTCTTTTCATATTACCAGGACAACAGAATGTGATCACCATGTCACAACAACAATTACAGCAGTTGGCTGCTCAAGGAATGATAATACAAAGAGTACCAACAACATTACAACAAAATGAGGTTTGTGGCATGCATGTATTTTCTCAACAATAAGTTGCATGGACAAATGTACTTCCAGATATATTAGTTTATTTCTGCTATTTTAGCATTTCTCAGCACATTCTATTTCCACCATAAATCTGTGAGATTAGTCACTTACTCCTGAGTGACTGTGCATGAGTGACAGTGCTTTGTCGGAATGTCTTTAAAAAAGTATGTTAGTGACCTGAGTCAATGATACTGAGTTCAAATCCTATGCCTGCCACCCATAGTGTGATAAATTGGCTGTGGAAGGCTTATACGGGATGGATCTTTCCAAAAACAATAGCTCCTTATTAGTCATTGGCTGCTCGCTTCTTCGGATTGAAAGTATGAAAACAACATAAAATTTCTGAATCATGATATATTCTACTATTTCCCTTATAGAATATTATTTTATCGTAAGTACTGTTCAGCTTAGTACGAGGAGACATGGAATTTCCTATAAATTTTAATTCCATGTAGTCTTAGTAACTTTTGGCGAACAATTGGTCAACCCTAACTTTTCTCAAAGATGAGTCTCTTATGACCTCGCTTTAAGCAAATTCCCTTGAAAAAAATTCCAGCAAAGAAAAAAGCATTACCTGAATTTTTTGTATAATATTTCCGTTCTTGAAGTATTCAACTTACATCACTATGTCTGGTAAAATGCTGCATTCGATCTAACTTATTTTCTTTAGTCTTTATATTTAAAAAAAAAAAATGCTCATATTTATGGACACAAATGCCATTTGAAACGTGTACTTGAATCAAATTAAACTGGAAAATTTTTGGCTAATTAGCAGGCCTTGTAGGACTCCCAAAATTTAAAAATTAAAATAAAATGTAAAAATCTTTATGAAATTTATAAATGATTGATTGATCCAGTAGTTCACAAAAGTTTAGCAAAACAATCCATACACATCCGTACACTTTGTGCCCTTTATTTTTTTATTAAATTTTTTAAAACAGTAGTTAATATAACTAGTTTTTTATTGCTGCATGGTTTTGATTCTCGCATGGAATGTTTTTCTCTATTTTGCATGACCTGTTTTCGACTGACTACACAATCTTTATGAAACTGCACTGCATGAACACAGAATCTTGAACATTCTAAGAAAGATGACGTTGATACATCTTCATCTTCTATTGATGATAGTGAGAAGGTCAGGATGGTGCCTTGAACTTTTTAGAAAGTTTACCCTATTCAATAGCTGTACGATATTTTGCATTGAAAATAGGAATTCATCTGATTTTATAAATCAGAAATTAAAGTTGTGAAAAAAATTCATTCAACACTTGAATTTCTGTCTGTATATGATTGTATTCCAGTAATCTATAACGCTATTCACAAAAAGTTGCTTTCTAGAATATTTATCGAATGAACTGAGTTCTTTCTTTCAATGCACCACATATTTGTATTTTCTTGAAAATAAATATCTGTCTGTTCGATGGCCAGTACTCGCAAAGTATGTGAACACCGGAACGTAGTATGTGTAGTGTGTACCAGATTAGGGTTAGGCCGTAATTTTATTCCAATTTCTCTTATTTTGGTTCTATTCTGGGTTCAGGGACTAGCCAAGTGACTCCCGTAGTATTTGTACCTGAAATTATGGCCTAACCTGGTACACATAGTACATTCTGGTGTTCGCATTTTCAGTTTAAATACTTCGGAAGTACCCAATGGCCCTCCATATCAAAAGCCCATGTTGAAATTATGAATAGGAGGGAAAAGGAAATATGACAATTTTTACAATTATATTTTCTAACAGAAAGCAGCAGTTAACCAAAGTGTTCCAATACCATCAAGTGAAGTGACAATTGTGGAACAGTCTGCTTCAACAGAGCAACAACAACAAGATCAACAACAAATATTAAAGTTATTACAAAATGGTGAGAAATTATTGGATTCATAGTATTCCAAAATTTTTTATGAAATTCAAGTTTTTCAAATTTGTAAATTGGGATTTGTATCAAATTCCACTCTGGAATTCTTGTGTGTTTTTGTGATTATCTTTTTCTTAGAAGAACACTTGATTCCAGATTGAATTTCATATATATTACAAAGACATTAATATCGATAACATAGGTTTTGTAACAAAATGTCTGTATCACGAGCATGCAACTGTTTATCGCAATGGGCCGAAATTAAAATTAAACTGTGGGCCAAGCCATCGAACAAACTTGAACCGGCATCAATAAAGAAATTTGATGTTATCGAATCCTCACCTAACGAAACCTTACCTCTTACATGTCATTAGATATCAGTGGCCGCCTGTGCAGGGTCTGGTCAGAGCAAAAGATACGGATAAGCATCGTATAAAAACAATAAATCAATTTTTAGCAATGCTCGTAAAACAAGAACCAGACTCTGATGGCCAGGTCATGATATCGGCCACTTCTCAACAATCAACAGTGAATCAATTGTTATTAGCTGCTCAGCAACAACTACAACAACAAGTGCAACAGCCAACAGTGACTGTAACACAGCAAGATGCCGCTCAACTTTTATCAGCAGCTGCTGCACTGGGGAGTGTGCAACCCCAACAAGCTGCGAATGCTGCTCAACCAGTATCAGTCGGTAAGTTTTTCTATCTTTATACAACACATTTATACGCCTTTTGCTCCTAACTAGACCATGCACAAACAGCCACTGATATCTTACAATATGTATACGTCTACTATTATTTGGAAATATCGGAATCTTTCGGTTTCGATATTGGCTACCCAATTTATTACACCCTGGGTATGATGGTGGGCATGGAATTGAACCCGAACTAACGTTTTAACCACTGGGACTGTGTGAAGAAGTCTTCTTATTTAAATCATGTTATTATCTTGAAGACCTGTGAAAAGTTGGTGCTTCCGAAGTATTCATACAAAGATGGCGCACAACCTGAACATAGTATGTGTACCAGGTTAGGGTTGTTCAGTTTGTGTTTCATCTTGGTACAAATACTTCAGGAGCGTCGAAATGTTCATAGAGTGCTGAGTTGAATCAGTTGGTATAATAAAACTTTTATTTTAAACTATATGATTTTTAAATAAAATGTCATTACTCATTCCGCTAGGGAGGAATAAAACCTAAAAGATAGCTCAAATGAATATTATGCACCTATCGAAATTATTATAATCGGTGACTAAAAAAATTTAAATTTAGAATTTATCACTTTCGGGACCCAGAAAACATAAGTCTTGTTTTACTGACAATATTCAAAACGTTTCAATAAAATAGAAATGAAATAATTAACGCCAAATATACAAGATAGCTAACCTATAATCATCATTATTGTTGATATAGGTCCAGAAAAGCTTAACTAAAGCTTAACACTTCTTGGGGTTACAGACAAAATTACATCTTATCCAGCAAAATATTCTAATGTTTTTTTCATCTAGGGTTAACAAACAACAACTCTAATAACAACAACAGTCAGCAACAACAATTACTGAATGCTAATCCTAGTGTGCTGGCTCAACTTCAGCAGCAACTGGCTAGCATTCAACAGCAACAACAACTTCTTCAGACTCAGCAGCAAGCATCAACGACGCAACAACAACCTGGTATCGTTCACATACTGTCAGCTGCAGCTCAACTTCAACAGCAAACTGGCGGTAACGCGAATACAACGAATAATATTCAACAGCAGTTAGCAATGGCACAAATGCTGTCGGCAGCGCAAGGTTCACCGCAAGCGAAAAACGGAAAGGGTGCTGCGATATCGCAACGTTTGACAGAACTTCAACCTGTCAGTACATTGCTCAGTCAATTAAGGCCTGTCTCACTTCAAAGCACAAATACATCAAACTCGTATATAGTTTCCAAAGGTAAAATTATTTTGAGCCGTTGATCAATATTTTTGAGTTGATAACACACCTGGATGGTTTATCATTTACTTATTCTCACACATCGGCTGACAATTTTTTTTTATAGAAGAATAAAGTTTTTTTTTTTCCTCGTCCCTGAGACAATCATGACTCAGATTCCTGACAGGAGCTCAAAATGTTGGTCTCTGGGTCCATAGCTCGGATTTTGACCAACAATGAACACATTCATTTTTTTTCATCTAGGAACAGCTCCAATCACTGCACCTGTGACACTGCCGCATCTTGTTCTTCCTGCTGCCACAGTAGCAGGTGCTACCTCACATGTTCCAAACACAGGTAACTGACTTGAATATTTTGTTTTTTTTATGTTGCTATTCGTTCAACTTTTCTTGAAAATAGGTTAGTTTTATAACATATGTATAATGAGCATGTGTTGTATGTACTCTCTTATGACTGACATGGCATATCACTCAATGCTCTTGTTTTAAATCTTCTGAGCCACAGCTGAGTTGTTGAAGTCTGAATTTGGAATTTTGGTAGTCTATTTGCTTAACTGCATTGGAGATTTTGGGTTTTTAAACCCCTATCCACGATCTTTTATAATCTGTGAGAAATTAAATATTATGCCGGGTACAAGAAATATTCTTGTCATTTGAATATGGTAAACTAGACCAGGGGTGTGCAACCTTTAAAGCATAAGGGCCAGATACAAATAACTAGCTGAAACCGGGGGCCACACCTTCATTTAATACAGGCTTTCCAGTAGATTTAGGCACATTAATTTGAGGAACTGTAACGTCATAGACATTGATGATAATTGGACTCAGTCACTCAGGTACAGGCTTCGTAACGCAAGGGGGTTGGAAATATTCGAACCAAAATAAATTAAATTAAAAACTTGTTTCGCGGGCTGCGCACGATTCGAAATTGGCACTTCTCCACTGGCCACACAATTTTTCCTTGTGGGCCGCAGTTTGCACACCCCTGATCTAGACCATACTCTGGAGCAATATTTACGGAAGATGTCTGTATAAAAAATACAATGCGGCATTCTGTATTTTAGGTGCCACCACTGCCAATTCTTCACAACCATTCACAACAATATATAGTGAGGCTTGGAAACTTGCCACAAACGGACAAAGAGGTAAGTCTTGAATTTTATGAATGGAAGTGTCCCCCTAAACTTCTTTTCTCCAGTTTTCTCTGTGAATTCTCTCATTGCTGATTGGAATTTTGACATGTTTACTAGCTTAAAATTGAAGCTAGTTTATTAGTAACATATTTCAATAGTTTTCAAAAGGTTCAAGACTAGCCGTTAGGACTAGGAGTCAAGATGCATAAAGTTGATCATTATTATTTATTCTCTGGTCTTTTATGTACCACACAATTCTATAGAAAGAGAGCCTATGTTAGCTCCGGTGGGTGTTCTACAATTTCCCTAAGTATGGTAAAGTTTTAGAAAGTTATTTTAAACGATTCTCTATCATTTCCAGCAGACGCAACTTCTGTACAAGTAACGGTGAGTGATAACGCAAGCAAAGTATCTTCAAGTCCAGCTAAAAGTTAACTTACACATCGGGAACAATACAAGTGACCAATTCCTGCATCGAATCTCTGTATTCATATATTCAAAAAGAGAGCAGTAAGAAAAATGTATTCACTGCGGACTAAATGAATAGCACGGAACAAGGTGATTGTCATCAGAGCCTGAATTTGGTTTGACTCTCGATTGTGGTAATTTCCAGCTCCCAACTTAACAGTTAACAGGCCTATACTGCTTCAGCTTCAAATTTTGTCTACGACATCCTGAACATCTGCATTCCGATACCCGATAAAATTGGAAATAACACACTCCGACGCTGGCAATAATGACGTTGGGCACTTAGGAATTTGCAAAAATATATGGAAGTGCTTTCTTTGCATTGTTCCATGTTCTTGCTTATACTATTTATCTGTTCGTTGTTGGATATCAGGGCTCACAATAAGCACAATATGAGCCAGCTACCTCTTCATATACCACTGCCTGATTATGTCTGGTTTATCAATGATGATACACTGATGCGCTTAGTTTTTAATTTGCATTTATTGCAACTGGCTCAACTTGATGTTTGGTCATTTTAAATTTAGTCTTCGCCACTAATGGTCCAATGGTTATCCAATCCTACATTTACACACTTGTATATATAATCTATATATATAATCTAATCACAAATTGTTTGTACGGAGTTAGTTGATATTGTTTTATTAAACTTTACGAGAGTACTCAGTGGCAGCAAACTCAGTTTTAATTTTTCGTAGTGAATAAAATCCAAGCATATTGACCGAATGGTAGTGCCTCTGTTCTATTGCAGCGCTGTATGAAGTTGTATAGATATATAATTATTTTTGTCAACAATGTTTAGTTTGTTTTTATTATTATAAACCATGTTTCTTTTGTTTGCGTTTTGGCAATAAGTGGCCAAAACCGGGTATTAGAACTATCTTTGTAAATGAATATATGTTGAATGCTACTATGGTAGACCCATTTGTCTTCATATTGGCGCAATGTTATCATTTTTTGCTTTTGTAATAAATGAATTTACAAGAACTTTTTTGTATGAGGTTTACTGATTCGGATTTCAGAATTGATGCAGTTGTTGCACATTACTTGTTGTACAAAAGCAGTAACATATCAGCGCATTGTGCTGAGCCTCAGATATACTTCGCACTTCTGACTACCCTTTGTGGGTGGGTACATGTGCGAGTACATCGCTGGGGTATTGGCGCTCCAGAGGTGTACGTACCAATATGGAGGGAACTAATTTTGTGTGCCTACTTTACATCAAGTTGTATAAAGGGACTGAAACATATGGGCATATTCACGTGGCATGGCCTAACCTGATACATATACTACGGCAGTACTGCGCGTGGTTACTGGTCTATTATAGCTCCCACCACTCTCCAGTCCATGCATCTGAAGTTCTTAGAAAAGTTTTTCTTCATGGAAGTAAATTGATGGATTCTGTGTTTTTGGGTCACCCGTTGTGATCGTAATAGTTAATAGTGTCCTTTAACACTAAATTTTTATGATCCTTGCGACGACGTGTGAAATGCATGGAAACTGGCGCGAACCACTTCTTCTGAAAACACCTTTCAATCTAACATATGTACGTTTTAAACCTGACTTGAGGTTTTGTTCGCTTTCCTGATTCTGTAATCAGTTTTATTTTGTTTTTATCAATTTTTTTTTTTATATTTTTTTTAGGCTGATATGGAGTGAAATGAACTTATACAGAAGGGCCCAAATGTATCAGTAACATCCTAACTCATAACAAAAACTGGCAATCTGAGCCACTCTGCTCTGTGGCTCGAAACCACCAAGATAGAGATAGTCCATCTTATATTCATAAGCGACTGCCCCAGAAGAGCAAGAGATGAGGTTGACGCATTCTGCTAAGCGCTTCGAACACGTTTACAATCGCGCCTCTGATTACCCTGCATGCTTCCGCAGATCCAAGTATGTGTCAAATCAGATGCTTTCCGAATAGTCAAGTCTATGCACTGTACCTACAACGGATAATTGGTTAACTATTCCCATACCCAACGTGGACTGGTAACCGGACACGAAACTGCTGTTCGCCATATGAAGTCTTTATCAAATTTCTACCCTAAGATGGTTTACCTTACCGCTGATCAGTTGTAAATATAATTTTATTTTGACTCCATAATCGGCATGTCATCCTCAATTATTACATATCTGAAACTGACCAACGATTTCCAAATCCTACATGAACTGGTAAAAACGGACGATAAGCCAAGGCTCGCCAAAACATTATCAAGCCAGATTTACTTTCCTCCCCGGGATAAATACCAAATTTATATATTTTACCTAAATGCAATTATCGTCTCAACAACAATTGAGCAAAATGCTCCATGCTTCCACCTCTCGTCCTATGATGCTAACACTTCACACTAAAATTATATAACTTCAATTCGCAATTACAAATGAATACACCACAGAGTTCAGCGAGTCTTGTTATATTTTTAATAATAGTAGAGTAACAATGAACAGTCTATACGACTATCTATGCAAAAATATTCAATGTATGTCATGGTGAATAACACGAAATACTATTTTTACGGCGTGATGAAACAAAAATAATTCAAACAAGACATAAGATGTGCAAGATGAAGAAGTGAAGATCGAAAAAAAAATCCAGTATTGACGACATACATTCGTAAATTTCCAATTTCATAGTTTTGTGAAAGTATGTAATTGTAGTCAAGATAGTCTTTGAATGGTAAAACGGTAATGGGGTCGAAATGACACCAATATGTGGATTTATCCATTATTGAGGAGTTGACGACATTCATATCAATGCACCGCTACACAAAATATATTCAGCAGTCTTAATGGGCTTCGGTCTCACCCAGGGTAAATACACTAATCATAATCTTATTGATGTTTGCCACAAGCCAAGCTCACTATACCTAGCAGTTCTAATAATCGGATTTAAAGGAGAGCAGCAATTCAATACAAGCGACCATCAATATATTTACCAGGCATATAGGTTAAGCATAAAATTTTTCCCCCTTTTTCATATGAATTCCAAGCTGAATATACTTTCGACCAACACAGAAGAGTTCATTCTCAACTAAATAATTCCATAGGGATGGGGACAATTACATACTGTACCTCATGAATTATAGATGTCTTACCTAATAGGTGTCAAAAGGAAATTGTATATTTTTGGTATTTAAAATTGATAACAATGAACAGGGTAAAAATATCATTATCATACACTGAGGGTCCGTTAAAATCTAGGGGTTTGGGGGTTAGAAATAAGAATTTAATTGTTGGAAAATCTGTCCTAATTAATTATACGTTTTGTTATTTTCTTTTTTTTATTCGATTGCTGAACAAGTAAATTAAATAAAATATGATTGAATGGCGTTTCTTTCTTTTGAGACGAATCCTCTGCTGTGTGAGCCGTGATTTCTGAAGTGATAATGGTTGTTTCAAACAAATTGAGAATACCTTTATAGCATTATTCAATTGATCTATTAGGAAAGCCCCATTATTGATTATTATTTTTAGTTATTTCTACAAATGGACCAACGAGTCATGCTTATATTTTACCACAGATTTGATTGGTATGAGATGGTATATGATGACAATATATTTAAACTCTTCACATTAAAATGTTTACCAGAAATAATATACTGTACTGGTAATACGCACAAGCATGGGTGCATAGTAAGGAATTAAATCACCATACGAGTAAAACATAGGAAAATTCTGGTAATTAATAACAAAGCATGATTTCGTAGCGAAGGCACAGAATTTTTTTGAAAGCATTAAAATATAATTTCATGATATTACATCCACAAAAAGGAGTTACGGGGCAAAAGGTTGCCAAAAAGTATCAAATATATCCCAAATTCATTACATTAAAATAGTGAAATCCTCGATTTTATGAATACCTCAAAATTTCAATCGAACAACAAAATAGCATGTACCAACTAAAAAAATGCCATAAAAGTATCAAATATACCCCAAACTCATTGCACTAAACATAGTAAAGGCTAGATTTTATAATAATTTGTGACCTTCCTTTGAACAACATATGGCATGCATAAAGCAAATAAAAATACCGATTCAGTGAGAGTGATAATGAATGCGAGTGACAAAATACAATCAAAACAACAATCTTGGTAAATCAGTCATGACGGAAAATATAGTTATATGAACAATTTTACCTTTCAAACATGTCCATATTAAGAAGACTAGAGTATTCCAGGTTAAAAATATTTTCCAAGGGTATGAATTATAGTAATTATGGCCATCTATGGCTAAATGTTCTTTGCAATATTATATACACGTCAGAAAAGAATGAACTCAATAAATGTCAGTTTTCATTAATTTTTTATTCTCTCCTACGACTGTCCATATCCCGTTCGTTACTTAAAAACAGAACAAAGCAGTGACAGAAAGGAAGATATTGCATCACATAAATGATTTAAATATTGTCGCAAGAAAAGATTTTTATAACGTGACTGCAAAAGCGAGCATATCTTGCAAGTTGCAACAATAAAAAAAAATGAGCAGTAAGCTGAATGAGTAGTATTGATTTAAAAATTGAAACATGATAGATGACAATTCTTGCAAAATAAAACTCTTGTTTAAAGTAAGAAAGGAAATGAGAACACATTTGTTCGTGAGCGTGATATATTATAAGCTACAGTGGGTCATTATTTCATTATATTGCTGAATACACAAGTATAATAACTCTCCTATCTTCAATTGTTGGGGTCCTAGGGCTAAAATACAGTATTACTTTTACTACAGTTTTGAAAAACAATTTTGGCTTATCATGCACTCTAGTCTACAATGTTAACTCTCGACCAATGTTGAATAGAAGTCCAGACCCAAACCTGCGAGTCAAGTCGAGGGTCTGGTAGTTATAGTCAATCCATTAAAACGAGTCAAGTCTTCCATAAATTGGACTCAAGTGTCTCTAACAGCGCTCTCGATTAGTTTGTACTCAAACTCGAGTGAATTTAAAACTTCTATCCCAAACCAGCAAAAAAAAAACAGCCATATTTTTAACTGCCAAATTAAAATTGTGTGTTACACCCAAACATAGGTATTTAGTTCAAATTTCAAACAAATGTTTCAAAAACAGCTGAAAATTATCATGCAAAATTTCCAACTACTATACTGCCTTTCATTCAATCAGAATATTACATAATAGAAAAAATACATTGGCAAAAATGATAAGATATCAACATTGGTTAGAACTATTGCCATTTCAACATGAAATAAAACAGGTTAACTAAAACAATTTTGCACAAAAGATAAAATGAATTAAACAATACTTGAACAGGGGAATAAAACGTATAAGTAAGGACAAAAACAGTAATTGGTCAATTCTTTAGATAAGTGGTTCCTAAACTGTGCAACACACAATGGTTATGGTCGTCATACTGTACCAAATGGCATTATTCAATTGAACAAATAGTTAAAAATTTAACTGCCGTTTTATCACTTCATCGAAAAACACTAATTATAGTAGGGTGAAGTTTACCAATTTATACAGACTGTTGGCACATTTGCTCAAATTCATTGCTACATAACTGCTGTGATTTTATACTAATAAATGCATTCAACACCATACTATAGGAACAATTGTCTTATTTGTTTCTGAATATCTATTCGAAACAGAATTATTTGCTATTAGCGTCAATAAATCCAATTATACAATAAATGCTGAAAAACTTTTTTTTCCAAAGATTCAATAAAACTTGTTTCGTTTTATTCCTAGATAAATATTCAATGATTGTAAATGTCTCTATTATCCTAAATATGTAAAGAGTACAAAAAGCGCCTAAGCTCGGAATGATACTATGATAGCATAACCAATTTGATCAATCCTGACACCGATGACATGAAAATAGTGGGTAGATGGACTGAATAGAGGTTGTCAAAAAGTCTATAACCTACGATTGCTTATAGAAATATTTATTAAATCAGCACAACTAAAAACTATTATGAGTGACGATATCTGCTCAAAAGATTATGCTAAATATTTATCTGTTTTCATAATTTCTCTTCATGAGAAGGTGACAAATCATTTAATAACTGTCAGAAACAAACATGAAGAACGGCCAATAGCATATTAAAAAAGATATTTCTGCAATAAAAACCAGTTTTGTTTCAAAAACAAATCAAATAAAAATAACAGGATTTGATTCACAAATTCATGATTATTCAGCAAAATAAAAATGCAATGAAGGGTAAAAATAAATGAGAATGAATGAAAATAGGTAAAAAAGAGCATCTAGAATATCTCTATGACTATTTCTGGTACAGAGGAAAGCATCGTTACATAAACACTGTCCAAGTATGGGCAGGTGTTACATAATAACCATAATCGGACAGCGATATTTTCCGCATCTGCCTTGTAAGCTGGTAAGAGATGGAAACATGCTACTTCACTACCTTTGCCATCTTGCTTTTATAGATTCAATATCACTTATCATGTTTTGTGCCATGCATATGGGAACAATCTGAAAAGGAAATTTCATTCTAACAGCATGTTTCTATTAAAGGATTTAAGAGTTTTGCCGTGCACTAGAGATCAATCTCCATAATTTCTGAGCAAATGTGTGTGAGCAAATTGCATTGAGCAAACTTCCTTTAAGAATATTTACAGTCAGATATGGTTCACAAATGCTAGATGGTGATACAAACAAACTGGCTATTGTGCTAGGAAGTTGTAGCAAAATAAGCAGAAAGCACTTCTGTATTAGAGTAATACTTCAATTACCTTGGCTCGAATTTAACTATGTAGTAGAAAATATAAAAGAGTGTACTTGTTATTAAATAAAGATTCATAATGCTATTGGAAATATAAACCTAATACTATTTCATTCAAAGATGCTTTAACCAATTATCCAATTTTTTTTTTACATGCAATATTTTTTGAGGAATTACCGAGTTGACTGTAGCACAGACACTTTTTTAAAAGTATTTGCCCCACGCTACTGAAAATTTCACATTTGATACCAAGGTCTTGGCATGAATAAAAGAAATTCTAGTTTTTCTAGTTTAAGTTGAAAATATCGAACTGAACTGTCTTTAAAACATTCAAAATTGGTATTTCCGTAGCAGTGAATCAAGATGGCGGACATCGGAACGTAGTATGTGTACCAGGTTAGGCCATAATTTCAGTTACAAATACTACGAGAGTCTCTTGGCTAGTCCCAGAACTCGTAATAGAACTAAAATGAGGAAAATTGGAATAAAATTATGGCCTAACCCTAACCTGGTACACATACTACGTTCCGGTGTCCGCCATCTTGGTTCACATACCCCAGGAATACCTCAAAATTTATAGCAAGGCCTTTAGACAGTTTAAATTTAGACTCCAGCTTGTAGAAAAGTTTAAAATTTCAAGTCAGCCACCAGAAATTTCCGGCAGCACACCCAGAGCTTGGTTTAATATATGATAGACAAAGAATATTTACCTGAAGTAATGCAATACCGATGAACACACCAGCAACAGTATACAAATTCATTTTTAACCAATCTTCAAACATTGTTAGGCATCCTGTTGTGTATACTGTTTTCATCTGCTCAGAAATCTACAAATTACATAAAAAAAAATGTTCGAATTTTTTTACACACAAAAGACAAAACATGCTTATTAATAGGCTTGGATACTTCTCTGACAGGCCGCGGATGCTAATAAGCTGTCCTGCCCTACCACATGCATATGGAACCCTATTTCAGATTTCCTTATTGTTTATTATAACCTCGCTATTCAGTTCCGGCTATAAAGCCCATAAAATCCAAACTATTGCCTGGCTTTGAACTCTTTATGATAGCTAAATCTGGGAAACAGGTTTCTGACAATGTTTTTAAGAAGATTCTCAGGAAGTTGATCAAAATATTTTTAAAATAACAATAATCCATTTTAGGTTTTTACAAAACCATTTTGATAGTGGAAGATTTAACAATGGGCACAACAATCTTGACACAATCCGATTTATGGATCAGTGAAAATAGTCTCATAACAATGTAATTGTAGATTTTAAAAGCAGTCTCATAAAAATGCAAGAGAAATGAAACAAAACTTATTAAAATTAATTTTTAAATTATAATTTTACTTAGGA